CAAGCTAGTTTCAGTCTGTTTCAGTCAGTGTTACCTGAAAACCAGTTTCGCCGGATGATTGTTACTTTGATCAAAAACCAACTACTGGAGTCGCGAACCGGTCTTTCCTTTTTCGCCGATCTCTTTCAGAAGCGCAGTCTTATTTACGACAGATTACTCTAATATCCCTTTTTTTCTAATTTATCTCGGAACAGTCAGTCATTAAAATTCGTGTGAACGAACGGGATTCCTTCTGAATTCGACTCACGGGAGCTTAGGCCCAGGTCAAACGTCGAACTTTCACATGAGACGAACTTAACTGAACTAAACTGAACTAAACGTTCGACGTTTAACTCAACTGAGTTTGGATCGACTAAAATTGCAATTTAGTCCGTCCCATGTGAAGTTCGACGTTTGACCTGGGCCTTACTAATCCCTTATACAGACCAACCTATTACACTGGTTTATTTATTTTTTATTTATTTATTTAGTTTTTTGTTGATTGAAGAAAAGAAAATCCATCTCCTTTAGTAAACCGGTCTGTTTCTGTGTCCCGACCTTCAAATAAATTCAGACATTATTCATAATCTACAAAAATGTTTATTGAAAGACTAATGTAGCTGTTATATTAACTCTTCGGTTTCTTTCTCCGTCTACACTTTTATAGCTTCTGTCTAAGGGTTTAGTAAGGATGGTACACTCATTAGAGAGAATAGGCCATATTCGTATTTTCGGCGTTGGACTGGAACTAGCTTGCAATGGAGGCTCTTGCGGGTGAATATCATTAAAAAGAGATTGATGTCATTTGCATTTGAAAAGACGCCTTGCATTAGCCTCAGTTGCAAGCTAGATCCAGTCCAAAACCGGGAATACGAATATACGACCTGTTTGAATTCTTGTCTGGCGGTCTGGCGTCGTTGGAAATAGGCCAATGCCGAGTTACCTTGTACCTCTGTTTCGAAACGAGTGCTCGTACAAAACCTTTCAGGTGAAAATGAGTTTGATTTGCATAAAAATGAACCTGTAGGTGGAATACAATTTCATATGAATGATTTTGCCCGAAGACTCGTTTTGACACACAGGAACGAGGCAACTCGGAAGTGGCCTATTAATTTAGGGAGCTTAAGCAATAATCAGGACGACGCTTCGTAAAAAAGAGAAAAAAAAAAACAAAAAAACAAAAAAACAGTATCCATTTAACCCCATCTTTCAATTCCAAAAGGAAATGCGAAAAACTAGCTGTCGTGGCTTATCGTTCTCCAAAATACGTAGAACTTGCGCTTTTCACGTTGTTGTTTTGCAGAGGACGGCAACAGTTGAGATCCTAATCCATCGTAGAATTCCCGATAACCCCTGCGTCACTGTCGTGTTTAATAAAAATCCCAGTTAAAATATCCATTTTTTTTTTTTTATAGCGACATCTTCACCAAAAGCTACTTATTAAAAAACCTAATAGAGTCATATTAGAAATTTGTCGTTGGCAATTCACTATTTACATGATAATCTGCGGCTCTGGTGACGAGTCGGAGATGGATTTGTGAGGAAGTATCCTTCCTCCGTTGATATATAATTCATCTTTAACTATGACGTCTTCGCCAAGTACAGATACACCCTCCATTCGAACCTGCAAAAAATAAAATTACGCAATTCCAATCACACAGTTGAGAGCGAGAGTATTGTTTCTCTGTTCTCAAGTAAACAAAAACGCTAATGCGCAGTTCTTAATCGAGACTTCTAAGTACATAATTACGTCCTTCGCTAGACTACGAGTAGTCCATCCTTTGCCTAGTCCGTCGTGCGAATGAGGGATTGCTCGCAGTCTAGTACTTCGCTAAATCTACAACAGCTTCTACCACGTAATTAACTTAAACTTATTTCAGAACAAAACTTGTATAAGATCGAGTTTTTAAGATGTTACTTTTAAGAGTTCATGAGACTCAAGTGCAAAAACAACTGTACGTACAAGTATTGCATGGACCTAAAGAGTTAAGGAGGTTTGATTATCTAACAGAAATTTAACCTACCCATTGTCCTACAACTGATTTCCAACCTATGATAGCAGAGTGGATCCAAGAGTGTGACCTAATGACGGCTTCTCGTAGAATTGTGCAACGTGAAAGGCATGCTCCTGATAAACAACAACAACAGCAACAACAACAACGTCAGTAATTACCAAAGAGACTCTGACTTCTTCGCGCTCCTTGTTCGCATTGTCACGCAACACTTTGCTGTGGTTACGCTCCAACTGTCCCCTTTATATAGTACAGCACGGCTTGTCTTTGACCTGGCAGTCTCCTTATCACGCAACACCAATCCACATTACAACGTATAAGCATTGTGTGACGACATCGTGACACTTGCTAGGAGGTCAAATTAACTACGAAAGGAGAACTGGAATGGTTTCTAGTTGACTGTCTAAAGTGACTGTTTGTTCCTTAGTGTACACTTTGCCAAGCTTATTGGTTACGCATTCATTTGGAAAGGCGCGCAATAAAGGGAATCATGCCTTAAAACTGCCCCGTTAATAACAGCACCTCTTTGTTATGACCATTTTGTTTGTCCCGAAGAAAACGCCAAGTCAAACCTGTACTATATATGTGCCAACACAATTTTGTGGGATTAGTGCTCCTTTAATGTTCTTAGGGGTGCAACTTGTTCATTGAGTTGGTTGCGTCCACTATGATTGGATGGAAGAAATTCGTTTTCTTGATAAGACTGGTATGATTATAATTTGCGTAGCAAGCGATGTTCAAAGGGAAAGAAGAGGGGAAAGTAGAACTGCGAAGCGCGTGAAGACTTTATAATCTGGACGGACGAGTCACATCTCCCATTCCTCATCCGGTCCCCGGTCCCAGTCCCTGGTCAGTGAAGAAAGTGCGGCTTGTAAGCGTCCTTCT